ATACACATAAACTTCATAAATAATAGTGATGTAGTCTTTGTCACGCGGTCTTTTAATGTCGATTACAGCATGACACGATCAATCTGAGCTAGGTAGAGGTCAGTACTAAGATTGAATTTGCTTTTTCTGTTTCTATCCAGAGAAAGCAATATCAAATTTATTAGAAATAAACTTTTCTCGTTTCTAAGATTATCTATGATTGTGTCACTAGATGTAAAGTCAACAAACATTGATTCTTCCGTTGTCAAAAGATTGATTTGATTTTTTTTTGTAGTTAATAACATTAGTGGAAAACTTAGTACACCTATTAAAATGCTTTATACATTTTTTAAATAAAGTGGTGTCTTCTATGTAGATAGTAACAACAGAAAGGAAGAAAAATGTCGCAGTGTAAAACACTTTAAACATGACCTAGGACAGTTTAAGATAAATCGCGACGGAGGTGTATATATAACGTGTTTTGTGCAAACGTATAAAAGTTATAAATTGATGGCATATTTCATTTTTAGTTTCTGTGGTCATTGTCGAAAAATCGGTTTTAGTTTTTTAAAGTCCACTAAAAATACAAGGCATCAATTCTTTTTCATACATTATATATGACTTTATTTATTAATTCAGTAGGCTTTACATTGATTATTATTTAAGGGTGTTATATGTTAAATGTTCATCGATATCTAACAGTTAAATGATTTTTAAAGAAACAACTGTGGTTTTGCAGAAGAATGTAAAAAATGGTAAATTAAACGGAAAATTCAACTTTAATACTTAAATTTTAGTAACTTAGCTCGTAGATAATGTAGGAAAAATTAGAAGAGCCAGATTAATTGTTGATACTTGGAACGTGCAAAGAAAATTAACATTAGGACACTATCATTAAAATAAATCAAGTAATTTTTTGTTTCTTTGCAACTCAGCGATTAGATTTCCAGTAAAATTTAATAAACAAGGTTCTCCGAGCAACTGATATCGTGCTCCATTTACGTTTATTCGGGCTTCCGCGAACTCTGGCACCCTTCCTCTACCCTTTATTAGCAACCCTTAAACCTATCAAATAATTTGTCGTTTCACATGTGAAATCACGAAATTAATTTCCTTTTGGTAAACGCGAATCAAGTTCTTGAAGAATTTTTATGTAGATTTCGCAATTATTAATTAACATTTATTCTTAGTTGGTGTTTTAAGATTAAATTTTTTGAACACAATTACTTTCAGGTAGTTTTAGAAATATTAATCCATTATCTAGTTATGACAGAAAAAGCACTGATATATAACTTACTTTTAGAGATAGAATTATAAGGACTCAATCAATAATTCTGTGTATGTATAATAACGATTTTTTTAAATTTTGTTCGATGCTTAAAGAATTCAATTTCACAACAAGCTCTGTTTTTGACAGTTATAAAGTTAGTTGCGATGTCACAACCTCCCGGCACTTCAAACCTTGAAGTGGAAAACACCTATTGTCACCGAAAGTTGACTGTGGTTAATGTTTTGATTTTTAATTTGCAATTAAATTACAAAATTAGTATAAACTTTTGCGAAAAATGTGATGTAGTCGTCAGTATCACCCCTGGGATGGCAAAGGAATATATGGTTTATATTTAAAACTATCATTAATTTTTGACAATGAATCACTGAACTGGGTTGCCATTGGACTCCTTCGTGTAAATCATCTATTATTGTAAGTTTCATAGAGAACTTTTGTATTTACAAAATGGGAGTAACAACATCATGCATTTACCAAATGTTATGGCAAACTTTTACGATCGACTTCATCATTTAAGCGGTTTGATATAAACACTAGTTGATGTAAGTAAGTATGTAATCAAATGCAATAACAAAAATTACACGATTAATGCTATAAAAAGATATGCAATATTTCCCATCATTCCTCGTGGTAACGATTTCCGATGTTACCAAAGTGAAAAATCATCTACCACTTCACCAGATATCCCTGACAAAAAGAACATTCGCAGATAATCAAAGAAGATCTAGTTTCTCTACTGGGAATCAATTGGAATAATTTCCCATACACAATTTTATTTTCAAAATCGCATACCAATGACAAATGTAGTAGAAGAATGTTAACACATTCGTAAACATGTTAATACTATGATTTAATACTGAAATCAAGTTAATAAGAAGTAGGATAGAGGAGAGGAAACACCGAGTGCGTTTTAAGACAGCTAGGTAAAAAGGATTTTTCAATTCGCTTTTGACATCGCAATCGTCTGTAGTGATTTTAACGAAATTAAATCGTACTCTAAGATATGGAATATTAGAGCAATATTGAAGCGAAAGTGTTAGAAAAGAAATACCAAAAGACCTTTTCTCTTTATATGCAAAAAGTTTCTTATTGTCTATAGATGATAAGAAAATAAAGGTCAGGTATTAAGTCACGTACTTATAACACACTTTGTAACACATAAAAAAAGGGCAACTTAATGCCCTAGGGAAATTGCGGGAACTGTACTGTTGAGATACTGAGGGAGTCGAAGTTGTGAAATTTATTGATTGAATCTTGAGTTGTGTTGTGTGGGTTTGAGATTGGATTTTGGAATATAAAGTGTGGATGAAGGTTAAATTGAATTAAGAAGGGATCAGGTTGGGGTTGTGGGAATATTAGCATCAGGTGGGATTGGACTTATGTTGATGAGAGGTTTGGGCTGAGGTTGAGTATTATGCGTTAAGGTTTAAATTTTAGAAATAATAAGTTTATGTCAGTGAGGTTCTGAAAATTATTGATTCGATCAAGTTATATTCGGCTTTATGAATTTGGACATTATTGATTGATAGCTTACGTTGAATAATGCTTAAGTAAGGATTTGATTTTGGAAATACTAGGTTCAAACGACGATGGATAGGGTTGGTGCTGCAAAAATTTTAAACTGGGTAGAGTTTCGGTTAAGTTGTGTTTGAGGTTTAGGTTGAATCTTAAAAATTGAAGGTTTGGATGAGTTGACCAGTAACGAGTTTTGAAACAACGCGTGAGACACTTCTATAGAAGGCTTGAAGAGTAGCATAATGGTCCCTTAGACAGCTGGCACCCTTTTAACCTACCACATATCTTAAAACTTCCCACGGACAATGGTTTTAACCATTTGGTTTTGGTTAATACCCTCGATATGAGTAGTAAGAATTCGGGTACTAAGAAAGGTGCTCTTTTAACAGGAACAGGTGAACTTTGGCCAGAAGGTCGTCCAGCTTATAAGTCTTACTGTTTCACGAACAGGTGGGATAATCAGTAATCACGGTGACATAATCACGTGTCGCCACTTTCTGAACTGTTGCAATTTGATACACATCATTTGAGTCCATTTATTAGTAATGGACTAATGGATCAATGGAGGTAATTGCCTTCATTCCAAAAGCCTGAAACAGACTGTCTACTTTTGGAACTTATTAATTGATTTGAGTTGGGGTATCATAGGATTCAGCATAACTTCAACTTTTCAAAATTATTAATTTCTGGGGTTTTTGGTTGCGTTATTTCTGGTATAAGTTTGGATTGATTGTGTTTCTAGTTTGGAGTTTTGGTTGATGTAGATTGAGTTGTGGTTCGGTTTAGGATTAGATCTCGATAATATTCAGTTTACGTAGATATAGTGCAAAATTAGATATGATTGTAATTTTGTATATTAATAATTGGGTGGTGTTTGATTTAGGTTTAGGTTTTAAAAATATTAAGCCATTAGGCGGTGATGGAATTAGAATGGGGTGGTGGGTTTGATTGGTTTGAGGTTTAAGATATTGGTTGCATTGCGTTGAGTAATTGAGTTAAATACAAAACGATTGGATTTTGGAAAGCTGAGGTTAAGGTTTCGATTGAGTTAGATCATATAGGAATGGATCAGTTGGTTGGTTTGGATTTCGGAAATAAGTTTTTGGTTAGAATGGAATTGATAAGTTTATAATTTCATTACTATGGAAATAAAGAAATTGTTACATGGGTTTGGTAATATATTAGATAATCAATCTGGTATATCTTTTCTATCGCTGCATGATTGAGTAACAACTATTACCATCAGTTTTGAAGGTAATGTTTAAGTATACTCACTTATAACATTCCCTAAATTCATAACTATAGTTAATGACCAATCCGTTGTTTTTCTTACAGAATTTAATCACTAATCTTGAATGTTTCAATGAATAATTCATTGACGGATTAGGTTCATACCATAGCAGAATAAATGCGCCAGATGATATCGTTAGTTATTCCTCTATGCTTCCAAATCTTTCAATTAAAGAGTTGAATGCAAGCCCCTCCAGTTAATTATGTTCATTGCTCCTAATTAAATCCTTTTGTGCTTTGGCATCTATTCATTCATTCATAGTTTTCGAGCTCTTTCTTACTGGGTTACGTTTTTGTTCATTTTGCTATAAAATTAAATTTAGATATATTCCATATATTTAACTAAATTTATCAAATTTGATTTCTTAATATTTAATGCATAATATTAATTTAAATAATCAGCATCATGTCAACATTACCAAAAGTACTCAAGTCAACCTTTTCTAAATATCGTTTCAACTGTTAACAAAGTATAAAAAGGTTGGGGAAAATTAGTACAAATCAATTTCTTCCTGTAACACAAAGCATAAAAGAAATAAAAGGAAGATAATCCCGCCCTGCAAATTACTGTTTTTATTCAAATTACACGTCCGATAAATTACGATAATCTATTTTCCATGTTTTACAACGTGTTTTACCAAATTACTACTTTCGGCTTGTGTTCCTACAATGTGCGAGAAGGTCTAAAATAAAAAGCGGCCACGGGCAATAAAGTTTAATGGAGACGGGTTCGGTTTAATTTTCGAAAAGTTGTACCGGCACAAACCTGTCACCTTGTCAATGTTGTAGTCGGCATCGAACTGAATTTTTAATTCCAGCATTTCATTTCGATCCTAATTCTCCTCCATTCCTTGTCACGACGCGACGATGTAAACGAAATAAAAAATACCAAATAAATTTATGTGTCTAATTTATTATCTTGTTTCAGTGAACGATTCCAGTGTTTTGGTGCTAGTGGTGTCTGTGGTGGTGCTGACGATTGCGCTGGGGTTGGTCACGTGCGTTCTCAACCACTATAGGGCTACGGCTGCCAATCCGCAAGAAGTCGGACAAACACCGACTACTACACCGGTAAGTTAAGAAACGATTTAAAAGTATTCTTAAAATGCAAAAATAAAAAGAAGTGTTGCGATAATCTGCAAATAAAATTTTTGTTGTGTTGAAACCAATCAACACCGTAAATCGAATTTAATGAGATGCTGAAGATTTGTCGATATGCCTTTCCGGCCGCCAACAAATGGTAATCGTGCCCGTAGGAGATAAGTACCGGGGGCGGTGAAGATAATGTGCTTCGGAGGCGGCTTTTCGATTGGCCGATGGCTGAACGGCCTCGGCAATTGCAACCGCCGGACGCTGCAACGCAACGGTGGCGGTTCGACCGTACACATGTTACCCTAATTAGCAATTAGGTGCAGCGGTGGCGCAATCAATCGTCATGTTTAGATCGAGTCGGTCGTCCGTGCTAATTACCACGTCTATAAACCCCCTTCTCTCTAAACCATTAGAAGAAGAGATAAAAGTAATAAATTTTTTTATTGTACATGTCAAATTATTATCTATCAGCAATTTTTATTCTAATTACATTTCCAGTGATAGAAAATTTTAATATTTGATTCTGAAAATAAAATAGCTTATGAAAATCTTTCAACTCATTTCAAGTAGATTTCGTTAGAGGTTTATATATTTTAATTATAATTCTTGGAATATATGTAAAATAACTGATTAACGTAATTTACAGCAAGCTTAATACTTATTCTACTCATCAATGCGCCGATAGCTTAATCAGAAAATAGACATTCCTTACCCAGGCCTTAAATACTTTGTTTGTACTCCCTAAACCGGTCCATACACTATGATACAAAACTGTCAAAATGGCTGTTCGTTAGCAAAAAGACGTTTTGCGTGAATTTATAAGTATATACCAAGGAAGTACTTGTCTTTGTAAAGTGAAAAGTAGTGAATATATGGATAGAAATAAAAAGGATGAGGGTTGCCAGCTGCTAGTGGAAGTTTTTAAGCAAATATCAGTTATTCTACAATGTTCAGACTGCCAATTCTCAATTTGAACCGAGCAATATTATTCACAATTTTTAAGTGAATAATGTATACTATTATTTAAATAATGAACTGTAGAAAGCTTTATCTATTTTATTTATTCGTACAGTAGGGTTAAGATAAATAAGGACACTATTATTGCATGATAACGAAACAGTGTCATATAAGTACATTTTCAAAATTAACATTCCACTATTCTTGATATATAACACGATCATGTTGCCAAGGCACGCTTCCATCATCAATAAAGTACCTTACAAAACGTTCTCGGACATTTTTTGCATCCATGCGCAAATAATTCCTATAGTTATCGATTTCTAACTGTAATTCGTTCAGTAAATTCGCGTGAGAATACTGTGTCCGTTTTTTCAGACAATTCTTTCCCCATTTTGATCTCTTCCTTTCTTTCTTCTTCTTCACTACTATTGCGATAGCAGTAGCAATTAAATATAAATCATGTTGCTGTATTATATTCATTATAGTTAACAAGTCGCATGTTTCAGGCGCAACTCACTATGAAACTGATACAAAAACTGCCAAGTAAATTTGAATCGTGAAAGCGTGCATGCAAGCATGTTTCAATTTTTCATCAAAGTGTATGGGCCTATATAAGGTAGCATTTGAGTGTATAGCGTTTAGATTCATAAAGTCTATAAATAGCTTCCTCATAAAAAGTTATGTATGCTTGCGTTTATGTCATAAGTATAGGCATCTTTTAGTAACCTCACTTTGCAACGTGTATCAGTCTCTCGACTATGACGTTGGTTCATCATCTGTACCACGATGAGCACGCTGAGTTAGCTATGGAGATTAGGAATCTGCTATGATACCCTCATCGGTAAAATAGTGTTGAGTTGGTCCTAAACCTCGACCGACTAAAGCCTTCTTCCGTCTATCATCGTCTTTCTGAAGTCGGAAAAGATTCTGTGGTGGTTCCAAGTTATCAGTCTCTTTTCTTGAAATAAAATATCGTTAGGTTTACTTTCCCTTACCGATCTGTGCTACTATCATAGACCCTAATTCATAAAGAATATTGAGAACCATCTAAGTCTGTTTTTGATTGTCAACATTTTCGCCTTTGGATGGGACAGAATATTTCGATGCAACGACTTTCTTAGTAGATGCTACTTTACTAGCATAAGACACTTCCCGTTTGATTGCGGCGTTATGAACCTTGGCATTCCTTTCTTCAGCCTTTCGTCTCTCTTTCATTTTTGTTCTTCATCTGTTGGGCCGGCGAGAATCTCATCTTTGAGTATTCAAATAATGGATTGTCTCTGCATTTCAAGCATCTGTACTCCGTCGTACATCTAGGCAATTAAGTTTTGTTTTCACCTTTATATGGCAACTTCCCGAACTTCGTACAATTTCATCCCCGTCCTTGTTCTTGGTAGTGGTCACCAGAACTCTTCACGCTGTTGAATTGGAATCCCTTTGCCATCAGATCTTCTTCTATTTCCTCAGTTTCGATTTTCTCTAGAATTCGTCTTAGCCGACTTTCAACTCCTTTTCCTCTGAGAGCTGGTAATAATGAAATTTCAATTTCAACGTCTCGATTTCTCGCCTAAATTTTTCGGTGTTGTAAAGATCTTAATCCCTTTCTTTGTGTTAAAGGTTATTACTACATCGATTCTGTTCTTTTTATCTATTTCCATAACCTTCAAATACTTGTCCTTCTTTCTAAGGACTATAGGTTGCTTTTCAACTCCCTTAAACTTCGCTTCTTGGACGTTCTCCTCTTCCGAATTGGAGGCTGGTAATAAGATCGTTTAACATTTAGTTTTTGCGTTTCTCTTCCTTTTACTATTCTTTTTCTCCAGAACCAGTATGAAATCGTCGTCTTCTGGTTTCACAAGGATTCGCAAGTAATTGGCATTATTCTCTTCTCTCGAGTTTGCTAATCCCTCTCTTTACTCTTTTCTTCGTTCTCTATGAACTTTGTAAGGTCACGGAACTTCCCCCCGTCAAACTGCTGAACAAGAGCTTGAGCTACTTCAAGCAGCTTCTTAATTCCTCGTTTACTATGTTTGGTGTCCTTATTTCAGCTACACCTTTGGAGGGTTTATAGTACCCTTCTCCTCAAGCCTTCTTGTTTGTTCTATTGCAATATATAATCGATTTGAAGAAAAAAACGCTTGCGCATCCTTTTTCTACCGAAGGAGTCAGTTCTGTTAGTCACCCATACCTGTACGTCTTACTCGCTCAAGAGTCAAGCAACGTCTGAATATATTGAAGATGTGGGTACACAAGCAGTAATGTTTATGTAGTGATGAAGACTTTTTCATTAGACTTATCCCAAATTGACTGGCTCACCGTTAAGTTTACCTTCCAATCACGATCGAAAGTCCATCTGTAGCATAGTATAAAAAATGTATACATTTAACATTCCTACATTTATGTTCCTCATGAACTTCATTAGTGCAGTGTTATTACTTTTAACTTATAGCTCTGTGGACATACACCAGTTTTCCGCAAGATTTAACGGTGTGTTTATTAAACTGATGAGTACGTTCATATCCTTTTCCAGGATCCAGAAAAAACGTTGCCTGGGTAGCATTCGATAATAGAACTTTAGCCGTTTATGACACGAAAAGTTCGTAGACACCAAGAGCAATGAAAACCCTCCTTAGGAACAACCATTGTAGATAGCTTAAGAGATACACTAAGAGTGTTGTTATGGAACATTGTTTGAACTTGCTCGTTAATTGATAGCATATTTGTAGTTATAATAATGATTGATAACAAAGTGTGGTCAAATGGACTCTCTATGTCCAGAAAAGCATCAGTATCATTTTCTAGTTGGTTGAGGAATTCTGTATCTAGGACGTCCGACTTGATGACCTTACCTTACTGTCTTGGTACTTGACCAATAACGTAAAACATCAAACTTATTTTCAAAAATCTATTTAAAATTAATGTGCTTTATGAAGTCTTCAAAAATCAACACAATTTTCATAAGATTCAATAATATTCAATTCTATTATATAAAACAGAACTAAAAATACGTCCTCTATGTAAATTCTTAATTTCTATTTGTAAAAGAACAAAGAGTTCATAAAAGAAATATATACAGTTGAAAAAAAATTGTACGAAAATAATATTTTCGCCGAGTATAATAATTTTCTACTCGGGCCCAGAGCGAAAATTCACACCGTTAACATACTAAATTAAACGCGTAGCGGTATTTCGCTTCACTTTTTCGCCCCAGTTACTAATTAGTCCGAAAATAAACCTCCGCACGAGCAAACAAAGTTAGTCAGCCTTATTTCACAATTAATGATTCGTGTCGGAGCGGTACATTTTAGCCGGTTGATTAATTAGCTTGTGGAAAATACGTGACACTCTACAAATACTAATAAGTTCGCTACATTAAAATTAACAAATTTGGTGTACGTTAGAAACAATGGAAATTTTGCAATGAGAGCTTTTGCGAAACCGTTCTTTTTAATTTTTAGATTTCCACTCGCGAACAATGCACTCATTCACATATCTCGAGACAATGCACGGCTAACATATTAAAAGAGTTGACCGCACCGATATCGGTTCGATTATGTTGGTCTCATTGTCTCCCGGCGTTTTAATTGCTATATTTACGAAATATCGACGCACGAGACCTACAGTATACGCAAATTGCTCTCTCGTATTTTTACTCTTATCTCGATATTCGTTGAAATATTCCATTCGTCATTGTTGATTATTATGACTGTTCTCCGGCGTCGATAGCCCCCAGTCTAAACTGTACCGGGGTCACTAATGTACATTTATTTGTCTTTATAGAGTAGGAAATCAATCGGCTTTTATGACCAAACATAGATGATCGACGATGACATATTCATTTTTTTTATTATCGTACTTATTTTGGCTACATTTCAAGGTATGACAAATATTTGCAGTAAATTGTTTGGCAAAGAATACGAGCCGAAAATAAAAACCAAATTCCGATGAAAATGTGAATGTTCGGTCATTTGTAATTTGGAAATCACTCATAGATTATTTTATGACTCGTAAAAGTATCT